CTTGACATACCAAAAGTTGCTCTAGGAAGCAGAAGTAGGCAAGCATGCTGACAATAACAAGAATCGGAATATCCTGCCAAAGTCTGTAATGCATTCAAAATGCAAAGTGAATTTTAAAACTCAAAACACGGATGGTAATTAAATTATGCCAAATTGGTAACACCAATTGAGAAGAAGAAATATGATGTGTGGGAGAGTTTTAGGCACTTGCCTACATTGAATGATAGCAGCCTGTGCTCCAATTCCTAAGGGCCTGTTTGGAATGCGCAAAAGGGTGACAGGCAAATTCTTGACGTCTTGACGACATACATCACAGATCTTGTTTCCTTTGATGCTGAACCATTTTACGGCACACTCTTTGTGGGCCAGGGCTAGTTCGCCTTTGCAACTGCATTCCATCTTAAGTGTGTCTGTACCCTCCCCAAGTTCAACCAGACATATTCTGCATACTGCATCTTCTCCAGTGATGTCTTCACCCAAGTTCTCTTTTCCTTCTAGACAAAGACACCAAACACAAATTATATTTATTTATAAAAAACAAAGTAAAAAAACTTTACCAAGAATATCTGAATATTAGGTACTCCTTCCATGGCAAAAAAGTCCTCTTTCATAACTTCTTTGGTCCCATAAGAGGCTTAGCTAATTTTGAATGAGTTCAATGATTTTTTATTATTAAAGAAGTATCCCAAACAAGTCAAGTATGATGTATTTAGTTGAATAAACAAACAAAATATAAGTAGGACGGATGATTTACAAGAGTTTTACGTTACCAAAATAAAAAAAACTTGTCCCTTGAGAAAAGATATCATTTTTGTAGAATTCCACTTTTGCCCTCATTTTAAACACACTGAAGAACTCCAAAAGTTTTCAAGCAGAGTTTAGTGAAAATGAAGCATTTAACATGGTATAAGAGAGCTCTTTCATTAAAAAAATAATACCACTTGACAATTTTGTCATATAGTCCGTAAAAGGCAGAACAAAATCCTATATTGCGAGACCGTGTAAATAAGCTTTACCTTCAGCCGGAGATGCAGCTAAGGTTGCTGCAGACTGCACTGGAACTTGAGGGGCAGTTGAGGGAATAACACGGTATAGACTCCCTACACACCCCTGTCTAGAGCTTCCATCTTTGTTTAAATCAGGAACTGAATGTGACCTGTGTATTGGGTCCCCTATATGCACTTTCTATTCACCAGTTGAAAGATGTAACCATTAGATTAGTGCTCAGATGATACAAATCATTTTGCACATACAAAGGATATACAAAGATACAATGACTACTCACAGCTGATGTGAGTCCTCCATGCGTTGATTCAGGATTCGAGTGCAGAATTGGAGTTACTGGCAATGATGATGTTCTTTTCAACGGTTGGTTGAAAATCTTAGTTACAGAAAACTGGCTCAAAAGTGAAGGCTTCTTTTGTGTTGCAGGGGACCCTCCCAGAGCTAGGATAGCAGCCCTTTCAACGTCTAATGTTGTGTTCCGGAATTTGAAGCTGATCTTAGGGATGAGGTTTTTCACAGACGATTTACCCCTTGACGATGGACCAGGTGATCCATCTGTTTTCCCATGAAAAGGGCTCGGCAAAGGCGAAAAGTTTACCCTTTTTGGAGTTGGTGATAGGGGTACGGTTGTCCTCGAAGAATTCTCCGACGCTTCCTCTACAGCTCTTTTGGGTATCTCCAAAATCAAATTTTGCCTCTTTTGATGCGCATTCAGAGACTGCTCCTCCACGATTTCGCTTGATTCATCTACCTTCATAGACATTCAAACCAAACACCATCATCTTTAGTAAAAAGTTTCCCCTTTTATTAAATTAAAACATAACACTATAAACATAAAGACCATTCACATAAATTGCTATATAACCAAACAACCCCCGGGAGAATAAATATATACACTCAGTCTATGTTTTTCTTATGTTACAAGACATGTAAAAGCCAATTGACCTGCAAATTACTTAGGGAGCATAAATTTTCTTTAATTCAGCAGTCTTGGGGTTAAACAAATAGGCCCTAAACAAAAGAAAGAAACTCATAATTGATAAATACCCTCCTAAAATCTCTAGAATATAAAAAATCACTCTTCAAGAACCAAATTGATTAATTGAAGCAAATATGGGTAGCTTCTGCGTTAATTGGAGAAATCAAAATTCAGTGTAAAAAAAATTGTAATTCAGCAAGAATATGGATCAAAGAAGAAGAAAAGGGCAGTTTTTTTTTCATGAAGAAAAAAGCGGGATAGAGGAGTGAGTACCTCTCTCGGAGGAAGAGCCGGCGGCTGCGGCCGCGGCGGCAGAGCTGGTTTGGAAGAGTCCTCAACGCCACTCTGTTTGGCAAAAGATTGGTCCTCTGTAGTATCCATGTTTTATCCAACAGGGGTCAAGAATGCTAAACCAAACGGCCCTTAAGCTCACATGGAATTAAAACTTAGATGCCCACTGGTTTAGTTTGTATGAACAGAGCATTCGTACTACTTTCTGGGTCCCATAAAAAATTTCCAAAAATGAAAAAATGTCTGTTCTAAAAATAGATTACATTGATATTATTTTTTAATTATAACTCATCTATCATATTATTATGCTCCTTTCGTCCCCAATTTGATTACAAATTGGAGTTTACGAGGAGAATTATCTCACTTTTTAAAATCATTATATTTATAAATCGGTATATCAATAAGAAATAAAAATTAGAGTACATATTAAAGAACTATGTCAAATGTTCTAAAAAAGAACAGATGACAAGAATATATTATTATATCAAATACTTAATGAAATCTCCTAAACAAACAAAATTTATCGAGAAAAGAGAAAAAAATTGTAATCAAATTAGCGATGGAAGAAATATTATATTTTATTATAAAATAATATCAAAATTTAAAAAAATAATATCAAAAATTTACATTTTTAGGGCCCAATTTATTTCTTTTTTGAAGTTTTATGGTAGGGAGGTAGTAATATACTCCGGTAACACACAGTGCCGCAGGTACAACAACTCAAAGATGTGCCTCCCGTGTTTTCGTCTTTTGTCGGTTTGGTTGTATTGTCATTGGTTGCCATCCCACTTCAATCTCGGCCGTTCACGGACTTGAAAATGCTCCTCACGTAATTTAATTTTTGGGCAATGCTATTTTGGGACATAGCAAGTTGTTTTTCTCATTATATTTAAAGAAATTTATTATGTTCTTTTTTCTTTTTCTTTTTCAATCTCATTATGTCCAATCTCATATTGGAATTACAAGTAGGGGTGAGCATCGGGTCGGTTCGGTCGGTTTCGGGTCAAAACCGAACTAACCGAAATTTTTTTAAATACAAAAAAACCGACCGAAACCGAACCGGTGTATTTGGATAACCGAGAAAACCGAAACCGATTAAATCGAATGGTTTCGGTCGGTTGTTAAAAACCGAATTCCATAACACCCCTGCAAAAAATACAAAAATACTCCGTAGTTAAACATGTTCCAGAACCATCACGAGAAGCACCAGGACTTCTAATATCAGCGGAAACAGCAGAATCCCATTGTTGTTCTAAAACAATGAATTAAATTGTTTTCTCAACAACTAAATGAGCAATTCCCCAGGTAAAATTGTAAATTTTCCTAAATTTGATATGAACGGGCGAAGAATAGCAACCAGCGCCGCTGTAATTTCTAGATCACAGATCCGCCGCTCAACTCCGAGGCCGAGGGGCAACGCCGGGAGCAGGGGTCGGCGTTCAAGGAGTGGAACCCAGTGACGGGGGTCTCTTGCTCGTCGAGAAAGAGATCTTCTGGTTCCTGAAATGCAGCGTGCAGTGGATGCAGACTATGGCGAGTGGCGACCCCCACCATCATGACGGATCTTCTGCTTCCTGAAAGCCAAGGGTTTCTTTGTGGCCACACATTAGCCACGCATAGACATCCTGATCACACATTCCCATTTTTGGATAATGAAGTGGGCTTAATTTCTATTGGGCTTTTAAAAAAATTCATATTAATAACTAGTAAACTTAACACCTATATCGGTTATTCGGTTAACCGAATAAACCGATAACCAAAACCGACACAAAACCGAAGTATCCGAAATAACCGAACTTTTTTAACATGGAAAACCGAAACCGAAACCGAAACCGATTTAGCGGTTACTTCGGTTTTCGGTTTTCGGTTTCACGGTCGGTCCGGTTAATTTGCTCACCCCTAATTACAAGAGGTACATAAGTACATTATAGATCCATCTAAAAAGTGTATAAAATTTGTCACATAAAATATTGATTGATGTAGTATATGTTTGTATTCGTGATTTTTCTAGTAGTGTTTTCTTCTCTTTTTGTATTTACATAATCAAATATAGTATCACATTCATGTACAATATTTGATGGGATTAACCCGATCAGATGGCGGACCAAGAACGGAATATGAATTAGGAAGATATAATTACTCAATAATATTCTTTGATTAAGTATTGAATGGTCTTGTTGTGACCTGCTTTACAATGGCGGGTTTTCCCCTTTTTATAGTACTTCTAATATTCCAATTAAAATTACACAAAATGGAAATGGATTATGGAGATCATGGGGTTGTGATTCCCCTTCTTTCCGGTCTCGTTCTCTTCCCATTCCGCCCATAACTCGACGATGTGGACCACGTGTCCCATTCCCCTTTTGGACTGGGTCGCTTCGATTTACCTCGAGTTTGGGCCGTCTCCTTCCACTTGCCAAATACGAGATGACGGGCTTGGCCCGTCATCCCACCTGGTCTTATTCCTTTTGGGCCATTATGGGCCTCCATTTGGGCCTGAAGTCGGGTCTACTAGACCCGATATCCATCACAAGCCCCCTAGTTTTCTGGCGACGTGTTGCTAGAAAACTAATGATGAGCCGCCTTCGATCTTCGTGTCGGATTAGAAACGTCGCACTCGAGTACCTCGGGTCCACCTTTCAACGGATAAATACCCCTTCTGGACTCATCTTCTTCCTCTCGCCACTGAATCTTAACCCGACCCGAATTTCGACTGCAATTTCCCCAAAATCCTTGTCTTCTTCTCTGTAATGGCCCCTACAAACCCCGAAACCTGGATCCACGAACCCTCAATTATCAAGGAAAACGAACTTCGAGAGATGGCCGTGCTCCTGGGCAAGGGCTTCCGGGTCCACCATCCCGATGCCGTTGGGGGGATTAGTTTAACCTACAATCCAAATCCCAAGAAATACATGGTCATGCAGTACCACTCTGTGGAGAATGGATTTAGGTTGCCCCTCCACGACCTGCTCCGCGACCTCTGCCTCCATTTTGGATTTGCTCCGGGCCAATTGACTGCCAACGCGCACAAGTATGTCGCGTCCTTCATCCTACGGTGTTGTGCCCTGGACAAAACCCCGACACTGGACGAATTTCTTCTCCTCTTCAGCATCGGTGGTTTTCCCTTTTACAGTCTATACCCCCACAATCATTTTCCCATTTTTGAGAAGGTCGAACTCAAGATCGACAAATGGGCGCTTAAATACTTCATCATTGAATTCCCGGCTCACAGCCCCATCGATCTGCCGGGTGTTGTCCTCCGCCGTTCCATCTCCCGGACGAAATTCGCCCCGGCAAACTTGGCGGAGGGCACGTATAATGCTCTGAGGGAGAAGGAGGGTCTAATTTCCCACCACTCTCTCCAAGAGGCTAAACTGTACAAACTCTCTAATTATCCCCTGGGTCCTGACCCGATTCCCTTTGAGGAGGTACCCTCCCCCGAGAGATCGAAAGCTCCTTATGCTGCAGAGTCCAACCCGGCTGCAAGCTCTTCTGGAGATCGGCCCCAAGGTGGTTCCACTACCTTAGTTGTGCGCAATCCGGATGCTGCTCTGGATGTTGTTCCTATCTCTGCCATTCCCGGACTCAGGAGGCCCACTCCATCCCAGAAACGACCAAGGGAGGGAGTCACTGATGATGACTTCCTACCAAAAAAGAATAGGGGGGGGGATAATATCTCCGTTTCACCCAGCCCCCTGTCAACCTCTTCTGGTCCTCAGAATTCTTCTTCCGCTGCAACTCCCGGAAGTTTAGGGCTAGAGCTACCCAACCCGGGAAGTCTGGACCAGGAAGCAGATGAACCTCCAGGCCAGGCGTCACTCACTAAACCTGCGGTGCAACCTCCGCCTGATGCAAACAATTCCCCGCCTCAAACTGTATCTGCCCCCCTAGAACCGGAGGAAAAAGCTGAGGGGCAGGAAGAACCAGAGTCTTCTCTTGCTGCAGAGGATGAAGTTGAAGTGCGGCTAGAAGCAGAAATCTCCCACCCAGAGGATAGTGGGGCTGGAGAGCACAGAGATGCTGGAGCTCCCTCTGAGATGGAGAGAGAGATTGAGAATCAACCGGAGCAGAAGGGACAGGGTTCTACGGCCACACTCCCAGCCCCCAATATCCCCATCCGGCGTAAGTTCACACCGCAAACTTACTCCGCTTTTACCGAGGGTTGGGAAGGCCTTTCCCGCGGTTTGAGATCCCTACAGGCCTCCCATTGGAATATCCAGGCGAACCTGGAGAGGATGAGGGACTCAGTGCAGGGGCCCACAACTCTCCAGACTCGCCCCGACCTGCTTGCTCTCAATGCCCTGCACTTTATGGAGCAGGTACTCTTTCCTTTCGAAATTTTCCTTATCTTCTTTTAGGTTAGTCCTTTTCCTTGACTTCCTTATCCTTCTTTTTAGGCCCAGCAATCACTCCTCACTTTGACTGAGCAATGCTCCTGAGGGAGAGGGATCTGGCTGCCAGGGCCTTGCAACAGAAATTCAACTCCCTGGAACAGCAGGTCCGGATCCTGCTAGAAGAGAATTCTCGGCTCAAGCTAGATGGCTCCACGGAGCTTGCAGCTGAGAGATCCAAGGTCCAGTCCATGCAAGATCAGATTGCTAATTACCACAGGGAGACCCAAGATCTGGAAGTGCAGTTTGGTAGGTTCCGGGCACAAATCTCCCTCCTGGAATCAAGGGTCTCGGCTTCAGAAGACCAGGTAGGAAGTTTGAAAGCTGAGCTGGTTGAGAAGGAATCCCGGATCTCTGAGCTAGAGAATTCCCTCCAAGAGGCCAAGTATGGTTCACGCCTTAACGAGCTTGCCCTGAAGCACATGGAGGCGAGACAGCTTGACCTCGAGAAGTTGAAGGGAGAGAGGCAGGCCGCAAGTGAGCTCCGGGCAAAGGTGGATGAACAAGAGAAGACGATCGCTGCTCATCAAGAGGAGGTGGCCACCCTGATTGCCCGTGCCAAAGCCCTCTACGAAGAGGGACAATTTGACATGCAGCAATGCATCTACGGGGTAGTCCAGAGTGGTCTCCCAGAGAACCGCACTCTGGATGACTTCATCTCCTACTATGGGTTACCTCTCCCTCTTTCTCCCCCAGCTTCTCGTGCAGACCCGGGGCCTTGACTTTATCCCTCCTTGTTGACTGTCATATTTTGCCTTGTAATTATTTGGATTATGGTAAATTGATAACATCCGATGTATTTTTGTCCATGTAGACTCCTTTAGTAATCTGACTGTTCTCCTTTTGGTATTCTTGTTTTGCCCTAGGACTTAACAGATTTTTTTTTACCCGCCTAGGCTTTGGGCTTAAACACGTTCACAACGCACTGTTCCTCTTATTTACCATCGCGCTAAGCGGCTGGCCCACTTTAATTATGTCGGGCCCAACTCACCTTAGCCCAATGATAAGATAGTGGAACCCTAGCCCTCCTCGGGAATCCGCAACTGCCTCCCAATCGGATAAGCGCTTTGACTCCGCGTCCCTTGCCCTTCTCCTTTGGGATTACTTACCTATTTAAGGGGCTGGGCTAAGCCCTTTCCATACCAAAATCAATCTCTCAACATGGCTAATAACGCCAATAGAGTTGTCTTCATTGATCTTACTATTTCTGATTCTTCTTCGTTGGCATTCCCTTCACTTGGGTCCCCAACACCTGAGCTCTCTTCTGGGCCTTCTCTTGCCTCTGAACAATCGGTAACCTCCCCCTTGCCCAGGGAGGAGAATAACCCTCATCTCCCCCAACAGGTCTCGGGGAGTATCCCTCCGGGTCCCAGCGTGCTTCCTAACAGTGCCAGGGCTGAAGTCTCTTCTGGCTGTCTTGGCACTTCTCGTCCACAGAAGAGACGCAATCCCCACTCAGGAGCTTCCCGGATGGTCTCCGGTGCGAGGCCTTCTTCTCAGAGTTCCCCTTCCCCTCAGCAGTTGCATGGACAGCCACCTGAGGAATGGGGGGACTATGACATGGGGGGAAACAGGCTTCCCTTTATACGCAGAGAAAAGGATGGGGCCTTCAGGGACCCACCCCCTCCTTCCGTATAAATGGAGATAGGCCTTGGATCCTTCCCTCATGCCCACCCGTCCTCCTGATCTGACTTCAGAGAGGCGACCGGAAGGTGCCAACGGGGGGAATGTCTTTCAATCCCAACCCGTTGGTTCCTCTCCATATCTTTTGAATGTCATCAAGAGAAAATGGTGGGCGCCTTCACAGGAATGACCGGATGGTATCCACGGGGATGGCTTTAGGTCCCAACCCGTTGGTACCATTCTAGTTCTTGTGAATTTCATGAAGTGTCTTCGGCGGACACTCTCCATGCCTTCCTGCCTTGAGGTTCTCTTTCTGGTTCAGGCAGGGAAGCAAGGGTCAGCGAATTCACTCCTTTAGATTCTAGAAGTGTCGATCTGCCTTGCTCTCAATTTTTTCTTCCGCAGTAGGATAGAGGTAGATCAGGGACAAAGTTCATTACTGTAACCCAAAAGAATGTAATTTTTCTGTTTGAGTTATTCAATGAAAATCTTTATCTCCTGTCTCTTTTTTTTGTTTCATGATTAGATCAGGGATAAGGCCCATCACTGTAACCCAAAAGAATGTAATCTTCTGTTTGAGCTATTTAATGGAAAGAGCCTTCATCTCCTGTCTTTTAATATTATTTTGTTGCACGTGCCGTCATCTGCATGGAGTAGAAGTCTAAGTCTATCTAACTCCTTACCTTCCCAGAATAACGTCTTTTTCAAAGCGCAAATGGGCCCAATTAACTAGCCCATGCACTTTAGTGGCGAGAAATTCTTAGTCAAACTTTGGGAAAGCTTCGACCGTTCCTTTCACCAATCGTTCAGTCTTTCACGCCTTTTAATTGCATTCATCAATTCCCAACTATCCCTTCCCCACTGACTATAAAATGGGAAAGGGCAATTAGTGGCCCGTCCATCACTTCCTGACTTCTTCACCATGGCAAGCAAGTCTGAGGGCAAAGTCATCATCGACTTAACCCTCTCTGGGACGTCTTCTTCTTCAGATAGTGACCTCCCCATCTCCCCAGCCCAGACCAACGACATGGCCGGGTTGAGTCCCGGCGAGTTCTCGAGGCTTTATCCGGCGCCCCGCCTTCCTGCACCTTCTCCTCCCAGTCCACCCAGGCTTCCCTCCGGGGAAATAGACTGGGACTCCATGACTCTTCAAGACTTCGCCTTGTACCAGAGGATGTGCAGGACTAAACTTGGACGTTCTGTACTAGCTATTGAAGCGGAACCTTCATGTGAAAGCCGGACTGCTCCTCCAAACCTGCAGAAGCCTTCCATCAATGGTTCTTCATTGGAGGGAGCAGCCCCTCATCCCGGAACATGGGAAGACTATGACATATGGGAAATCACTGATTCATCAACGCATCCCTCGTCAAAGAGAAGGAGCCCATGGAAGGGTCCCCCACCTCCATCTTGTTGACTGCATGGATGCAATAGGCCCTCCTTCAGTTCCTAGCCTCCTGCAAACCAAATTTCTTTTCCTTGTTTTGTATCAAGGGGCATTCACTTGCTCGGTCCAGAGGTTTTTTCCTCATTCCAAACTAATGAATGTTCCTTAATTTTGAAATAGGAATTATCATTGTAATTCAAAGATATACCTTCCGAATTAGCAATCGATAATTCCCTTAGTTTCTTCTCTTGTTTATTTCACTAGGAACCTTTATTTTGAACCACAAAATGTAAACCTTGGCTCATCAACATGGTCCTTAATGATCATTTCTTTGCACCTCTTTAAATGCAAGTACATAATTCATTCTCTATGATAAATCTCATCTTCCCGAGGTTTGGGAATACCTAGGGGCCCTTATCATATCTGCCCCTGGCCTTCCCTTCCTCCGGGTTAAGGCATAATCTTATCTACCTTGGATCAGTTAAGCTCCAACCCTCGAAGTTTGTTTGCTCGGTTGATCTATACTAGTGGAATACTAAGCTTCAGCCCTCGAAGTCTGCTTGCTATTCTTCCCGAATTCCGGGTTGTAGTGGCCCTCGAAGTCCAATCCCAACCCTTCCTTCAATCTTGACGGAGGCATAAACTTCTCTACCTCCGGGGGGGCATAAACTTATCTACCTCCCTTATTTTTAGCAGGTGGCATAAACTTTTCTACCTCCCTGTAACGCGGGTCTACATTGCCCGGGGGTGCTTCCCCCCCCCCCCCNATACCTAGGGCCCTTATCATATCTGCCCCTGGCCTTCCCTTCCTCCGGGTTAAGGCATAATCTTATCTACCTTGGATCAGTTGAGCTCCAACCCTCGAAGTTTGTTTGCTCGGTTGATCTATACTAGTGGAATACTAAGCTTCAGCCCTCGAAGTCTGCTTGCTATTCTTCCTGAATTCCGGGTTGTAGTGGCCCTCGAAGTCCAATCCCAACCCTTCCTTCAATCTTGACGGAGGCATAAACTTCTCTACCTCCGGGGGGGCATAAACTTATCTACCTCCCCTATTTTTAGCAGGTGGCATAAACTTTTTTACCTCCCTGTAACGCGGGTCTACATTGCCCGGGGGTGCTTCCCCCCCCTTTTTTTTTAAAGAAATCCATAGAACAATGAAATTGCAAAGGCACTTGGCTATAGAAGAAGGTGAATGAAACAAACATTTGAAATTAAAAACAGAGTATTTTTACAAAATGATTTACTGATAAAATTTGACCAAGTGCTCTACATTCCATGTCCTATCAATTTCTTTCCCCTTGGGAGTCACCAACTTGTAGGTACCTGGGCGAACTACGGCCTTGATGATATAAGGTCCTTCATACTTCTTCGCCAGCTTCCCACCTTTAGTTGGTTGACTCTTCTCTCGTTTCCTCAGAACATAATCCCCCACCTGGAATGCCCTTGGTTTCACCTTGCTATCAAAGTAAGATTTCACCTGGCGACGATAATTTTCTGCCCGGATGCGTGCTTCATCCCTTCGTTCTTCTACGAAATTCAGCTCTACGGCCTGATTTTGTTCATTCACCTCCGGGTCATATTCCATCTCTCTCCTGGTGGGGATTACTACCTCGGCGGGAGCCCGGGCCTCAAAACCATACGCCAAGCCAAAAGGAGTGTCACCCATGGCTCTCCTCGGGGTCGTCCTGTATGTCCACAGGATTCTGGGCAGTTCATCTACCCATTTGCTTCCTTCTGAAAGTAGCTTCTTCTTTATTCCGTCTATGATTGTTCTGTTGACGTTCTCCACTTGTCCATTAGCCTGAGGGTACGTAACAGACACCTTTGTGTGTTGAATTCCCCAAGTTCTGAGAAAGTCTTTAAATTCTGCTTCCTCAAACTGGGTTCCATTATCTGATATAATCTGCTTCGGGACTCCAAACCTGCAGAGTATATTAGTCCCAACGAAGTCGATCATCTGCCTTCCGGTGATCCCTGCAAGCGGCTCAGCCTCCACCCACTTTGTGAAATAGTCTATCGCCACCACAATCCATCTTGCCTGCCCCGCCCCTTTTGGCAGGGCCCCCACAAGATCAATCCCCCATCTTGAGAAGGGAATCACGGAGCTGATGGGTGTGTAGTTAGTGGCTGGTCTCCCGGGTATATTCTGGAATTGCTGGCAAGTCAGGCACTTGCGTACATACTCTTCGCAATCCTTCCTCATCGTTGGCCAGAAATATACCTGGATGATAGCCCTCCTGGAAATGGAATAAGGACCCTGATGTGCGACACATACTCCTTCGTGTATTTCTTCCATCAATGCCTTCGCCTCTGTTGCTCTAAGGCAACGGAGTAGGGCACCGTTGTAAGACCGCTTATAGAGGACTCCGTCCTGCACCTTGTAGGTTGGTGCCCTCATTCGTAATAGACGCGCTTCCTGGGGATTCTCCGGGGCTTCACCGTCCTCAATGTATTTGGCCAATCGGTCCAACCATTCCGGGGGATCAGCTGATACCCAGATCACCTCATTGTTACTAAGACTCGGGGTTACCAGCTCTTCGACAGTTGCTAATCTGCTTATGTATTCTGGTGATTCTGCGCTGAGCTTGGACAGAACATCGGCCTTTGCATTCTGGGCCCGGGGTATATGTTCAAGCTTGAACTCAAACCTTCCCAACATCTCTAGAGACAAGTCCCGGTACCTCTTCATCCTCTCTTCCTTTGCCTCAAACTCCCCTGTGATTTGTCCCACCACCAGTCGGGAGTCGCTGTAGACTTGAACCCTGGATATTCCCATCTTACCAAGAATCTTCAACCCATTGATCAGGGCCTCATACTCAGCTTCATTGTTGGAGACACAGAACTGAAATCTGATGGCGTAATAAATCCGGAAATTTTCTGGGGTGACCAAGACGATACCTGCTCCGCAAGATCAAGACCCAGAAGATCCGTCGATGCACATTATCCACCAATCTTTCTCCACCCGGGTTTCAACCTGGGCTCTCGTCATTTCCCTAGCGGTGCACTCGACTTGGAAATCAGCGAGTGCTTGCCCTTTGATGGATGGGCGCGGCCTGAATTCCACGTTGTACTGACTGATAAAGACCGCCCACTTTGTCATCCGGGCCGATGCCGCCGGGCTCCGGCTAAGTGACGCCAATGGCTCATTGGTGAGCACAATAATCCGGTGAGCCTAAAAGTACGGTGTCAATCTCTTTGCCGTCCAGAAGACCGCCAACATGGCTTTCTCTCAGGGTCTTGCTGACGTAGTAGACCGGATGTTGGGCCCCACGCTCTTCTCTCACGATCACAGTACTTATGGCACAATCCGCAATCGCCAAATATAGAGTCAGAATATCCCCAGGTTCCAGCTTGGATAAAACCGGCGGACTTGTGAGATATCTCTTTAATTCTTCAAATGCTTATTGATATTCCGGTGTCCATTCGAAGGTCGCCCTTTTCTTAATCACCACAAAGAATGGGTGCGCCTTCTCTGCCAACTTTGAAAGAAAACGATTTAAGGCCGCCAATCTTCCTGTTAGCCGCTGAACCTCCTTGGCTGTCTTCGGAGGTTCCATCTCCATGATGGCTCTAACTTTCTCCGGGTTTGCCTCAATCCCTTTCCGGCTTACCATGTGCCCTAGGAATTTCCCACCTTGAATAGCAAAGGTACATTTTTTCGGGTTCAATCTCAAATTTACCTTCATCATGATTTCAAAGACCTCTTCAAGGTCCCGGACATGGTCTCGGGCCTCTTTGGACTTGACAATCATATCATCAACATACGCCTCCATGGTCCGCCCTAGGACAGTCTTGAACACCTGAGAAACCATCCGGGTATATGTGGCCCCGGAATTTCTCAG